TAGAGTGGAAAAGGGATGAGAATGGGATGCTAGAGTTGAAAAGGGTGAGAATGAGATCCTAGAGTTGACAAGGGTGAGAATGGGATGCTAGAGTTGACAAGGGGCGAGAATGAGATCCTAGAGTTGACAAGGGTGAGAATGGGATCCTAGAGTTGACAAGGGTGAGAATTGGATGCTAGAGTTGACAAGGGTGAGAATGAGATCCTAGAGTTGACAAGGGTGAGAATGGGATCCTAGAGTTGACAAGGGTGAGAATTGGATGCTAGAGTTGACAAGGGTGAGAATGAGATCCTAGAGTTGACAAGGGTGAGAATGGGATGCTAGAGTTGACAAGGGTGAGATGGGATGCTAGAGCTGACAAGGGTGAGAATGAGATCCTAGAGTGGACAAGGGTGAGAATGGGATGCTAGAGTTGACAAGGGCGAGATGGGATGCTAGAGTTGACAAGGGTGAGAATGGGATGCTAGAGTTGACAAGGGTGAGAATGAGATGCTAGAGTTGACAAGGGTAAGATGGGATGCTAGAGCTGACAAGGGTGAGAATGAGATCCTAGAGTGGACAAGGGTGAGAATGGGATGCTAGAGTTGACAAGGGGCGAGATGGGATGCTAGAGTTGACAAGGGGCGAGATGGGATGCTAGAGTTGACAAGGGTGAGAATGGGATGCTAGAGTTGACAAGGGGCGTGAATGAGATCCTAGAGTTGACAAGGGGCGAGAATGGGATGCTAGAGTTGACAAGGGTAAGAATGGGATGCTAGAGTGGACAAGGGTGAGAATGGGATGCTAGAGTTGACAAGGGTGAGAATGGAATGCTAGAGTTGACAAGGGTGAGAATGAGATCCTAGAGTTGACAAGGGGCGAGATGGGATGCTAGAGTTGACAAGGGTGAGAATGGGATGCTAGAGTTGACAAGGGTGAGAATGGGATGCTAGAGTTGACAAGGGTGAGAATGAGATCCAACAGTTGACAAGGGGCGAGATGGGATGCTAGAGTTGACAAGGGATGAGATGGGATCCTAGAGTTGACAAGGGATGAGAATGGGGTGCTAGAGTTGACAAGGGGCGAGATGGGATGCTAGAGTTGACAAGGGTGAGAATGGGATGCTAGAGTTGACAAGGGTGAGAATGGGGTGCTAGAGTTGACAAGGGTGAGATGGGATGCTAGAGTTGACAAAAGGGGCGAGAGATGGGATGTTAGAGTTGACAAGGGCGAGATGGGATGCTAGAGTTGACAAGGGATGAGAATGGGGTGCTAGAGTTGACAAGGGATGAGATGGGATCCTAGAGTTGACAAGGGATGAGAATGGGGTGCTAGAGTTGACAAGGGATGAGATGGGATCCTAGAGTTGACAAGGGATGAGAATGGGGTGCTAGAGTCGACAAGGGATGAGATGGGATGCTAGAGCTTGACAAGGGGATGGCGAGATGGGATGCTAGAGTTGACAAGGGTGAGAATGGGATCCTAGAGTAGACAAGGGTGAGAATGGGATGCTAGAGCTTGACAAGGGGCGAGGATGGGATGCTAGAGTTGACAAAGGGATGAGATGGGATGCTAGAAGTTGACAAAGAGGGCGAGAGATGGGATGCTAGAGTTGACAAGGGATGAGATGGGATGCTAGAGTTGACAAGGGTGAGAATGGGATGCTAGAGCTGACAAGGGGCGAGATGGGATGCTAGAGTTGACAAGGGTGAGAATGGGATGCTAGAGTTGACAAGGGGCGAGATGGGATGCTAGAGTTGACAAGGGTGAGATGGGATGCTAGAGTTGACAAAGGGGGCGAGATGGGATGCTAGAGTTGACAAGGGTGAGATGGGATGCTAGAGTTGACAAGGGATGAGATGGGATGCTAGAGTTGACAAGGGGCGAGATGGGATGCTAGAGTTGACAAGGGTGAGAATGGGATCCTAGAGTTGACAAGGGTGAGAATGGGATGCTAGAGTTGACAAGGGATGAGATGGGATGCTAGAGTTGACAAGGGGCGAGATGGGATGCTAGAGTTGACAAGGGTGAGAATGGGATCCTAGAGTTGACAAGGGTGAGAATGGGATGCTAGAGTTGACAAGGGGCGAGATGGGATGCTAGAGTTGACAAGGGTGAGAATGGGATGCTAGAGTTGACAAGGGATGAGATGGGATGCTAGAGTTGACAAGGGGCGAGATGGGATGCTAGATTTGACAAGGGTGAGAATGGGATGCTAGAGTTGACAAGGGATGAGATGGGATGCTAGAGTTGACAAGGGATGAGAATGGGGTACTAGAGTTGACAAGGGATGAGATGGGATGCTAGAGTTGACAAGGGGCGAGATGGGATCCTAGAGTTGACAAGGGTGAGAATGAGATCCTAGAGTTGACAAGGGGCGAGATGGGATGCTAGAGTTGACAAGGGTGAGAATGGGATGCGAGAGTGATGAAAATAAGAACGCAATGTGGTAAAGTGTTGATAATGGAACTGTTTGTTTTATCACCTTTTTATGCATTTTTGCTCTTGGATCAGTAATGGAGGGCAACTGGGTGACCTTTCAGAGAAGAGACAAAAGGCCACCCTTGTCCATGGTTAGTTGCCCTGAACAGGCATGATGTAATGAGACTATGCGCCTGGAATTTGACCTTCTGCTCATCTGATTTCCGTTCCGTGTCATTAATTGAAACAATTTCTTATTTTGAATAATAGATAACTGACTAACTGGAGTTCACAATTTTATATGTTAAATCGAATGCAGAAATATCGTTAACAAAGACCATTCTTCTTGGAGGTTTGGGGGATTTTTTGTCTGTGTTTTTGGTTTTTGTTTATTTTTGTCTGGACTGACGTTGTTTCCACTTCAAACAGAACTAGGTGATGTGGTGGTAGTCATGGTATATAATATAACCCGGCGTCGGCGCCTGGTCTAATATACAGCCCAAACCTCGGTACCTTGTCTAGTATACAGTCAAACCTCGGCGCCTTGTCAAGTATACAGCCAAACCTCGGCGCCTTGACTAGTATACAGCCAAACCTCGGCGCCTTGTCTAGTATACAGTCAAACCTCGGCGCCTTGTCTAGTATACAGCCGAACCTCGGCGCCTTGTCTAGTATACAGCCAAACCTCGGCGCCTTGTCTTGTATACAGCCAAACCTCGGCGCCTTGTCTGAGTATACAGCCAAACCTCGGCGCCTTGTCTGAGTATACAGTCAAACCTCGGCGCCTTGTCAGAGTATACAGCCAAACCTCGGCGCCTTGACTAGTATACAGCCAAACCTCGGCGCCTTGTCTAGTATACAGTCAAACCTCGGCGCCTTGTCTAGTATACAGCCGAACCTCGGCGCCTTGTCTAGTATACAGCCAAACCTCGGCGCCTTGTCTTGTATACAGCCAAACCTCGGCGCCTTGTCTAGTATACAGCCAAACCTCGGCGCCTTGTCTAGTATACAGCCAAACCTCGGCGCCTTGTCTAGTATACAGCCAAACCTCGGCGCCTTGTCTAGTATACAGCCGGTCCTCGGCGCCTTGTCTAGTATACAGCCAAACCTCGGGGCCTTGTCTAATATACAGCAAAACCTCGGTGCCTTGTCTAGTATACACCCAAACCTCGGCGCCTTGTCTAGTATACACCCAAACCTCGGCGCCTTGTCTAGTATACAGCCAAACCTCGACGCCTTGTCTAGTATACAGCCAGACCTCGGCGCCTTGTCTAGTATACAGCCAGACCTCGGTACCTTGTCTAGTATACAGCCAAACCTCGGTACCTTGTCTAGTATACAGCCAGACCTCGGTACCTTGTCTAGTATACACCCAAACCTCGGCGCCTTGTCCAGTGAACTGCCAAACCTCGACGTGTCGTCTAGTATACACCCAAACATCGTCTAGTATACACCCAAGCTCGACGCCTCGTCTAGTATACAACCAAACCTCGGCACCTTAAATATGAAAACGCGATGTCTTTTTCTGCATTAGCTGTTTCAGAACAAAAATAACGATGAAAAAGAATTCAAGATATTTAAAACCCCAATGGCGTCTGTACAGCATTACAGCAAAATCTTTTACTCTTATCTTTTGATACAAAAGGCGAAACAGAGAAACGGTACGTTCCACAATGGAAATATCATAACATAAAGTTAGGAAACCCTTTGAGGTATTAGTGAGGAAATATCAGACAAGTTCAGATGGCTGACAAATGACCATTTCTCACTACCGCAGGAGCATTTTGGACTCTATAGATTAAAATCATTTATATGTGCTAAAAGTCTGTCAAACTATCAACGTAAGAGTTTTACCATACGTTTGTCTTTACAAGAAAAATCAAGTTAAGCATGGAAGCCACTAGATAATCATATTTATACAATTTTACACTACCTGTATATTTAGTTTTGTTATAGTGAATGAGTGAGTGGAATAAGTTTTTTACGCCGCTTTTAGCAATATTCCAGCAATATCACGGCGGGGGACATCAGAAATGGGCTTCACACGTTGTAACCATGTGGGGAATCGAACCCGGGTCTTCAGCGTGACGAGCGAACGCTTTAACCACTAGGCTACCCCACCGCCCCTTAGTGTTGTTATAAGCCGTGTGCAAGCAGCTGCATAAATGAAGCTTATTCTTCTTTCGATTCTTCCCGAACGCGGGCAAATATTATATTTTAACCAAAACGAAAATAATAATTATTATTAAAATTGATAATAATTAGCAAAACGTTTCAGGCATGACCGATTCCTTAACTAGCCTGGGTCTCGACCGGGGTCAGTATATTATCTCTAATTGACCTTTATGTTAAATAATGACCCTGTACCTTAAGGTCATGCGCTTTAACGTGTGGGGCATTTAGGTCGAATGGGGATGCAGCTAGGGCTGAAGGCTTCCTTGGAAAGAGGGCGGTGGGGTAGCCTAATGGTTAAAGCGTTGGCTCGTCACGCCAAAGACCCGGGTTCGAATCCCCACATTGGTACAATGTGTGAAGCCCATTTCCGGTGTCCCCCGCCGTGATGTTGCTGGAATATTGCTAAAAGCGGCGTAAAACCAAACTCAGTCAGTCAGTCAGTCCTTTGAAAGAAATTAATCCATTATTATTTGTTTTGTTTCAGAGTCATGTCATAGTTTGTGTCAATATTTGGAACATTCTGAAACCTTATAATTAATATACATGTATGTTGTTACCTAGACCAACATCTCGTATCTGAAATGAACATATTGTACAGAAAAATATTGTTCATAAAACAATAATCATAAAATATAATGAGAGGAGCCCAGAGATTTTCTTTATTTCCTGAAACTGTGGAAATGTAAAACTTGTCACATTTGCTAGACTTGTATGGGTTTTCTTGCATATATACTCATGCCAATAATGGTTGCCACCCTCTTCATTTTTTTAATTGGAGAGGGGTGTGGGAGTGGGGGTTTGAGGTGTGTGGGGTTTTGGGTGGGGAGGGTTTGACAACCATTATTGGCATGAGTATATTTGTTTAAGGGTCTGTATGGCAGACTATTCGTTACCCGGCAGAGTTAATATTTAACTAGCTTGTAACGTTACGTCGGTTGAATTACGAATTAATTCTAGAGTTGGAGTTTGAAGAAGTTTCTTTCATATAACTTTATTGACGGTAAAATAGCTCACTCGTTTGGGTGTTTCTAGCCTGAATATGACGCACGATATCGAAATATGCTGGAAGATGTGTATGGGGAAAGGGAGGTAACTTCGCCACAGAGGGTTATGGTCAAAGGGAAACAACTCTTGCAAAGCGCAAGTTCTGAGAAATTTCAATTTCAATTATTTGTTGGTGTACTTATTCATCGGCAATAATCTGTTTGATTCCCTCTACTAATTTTAGTCTCTAATTTGTTGTCTGAATATTGTTTTCATAATAACAATAACAATTTAGTGTCCTTAATAGAATGAATTTTACACATACAAAATACGTAATTTTAACATAGGAATTTGGGAGGTCAGCGTAATAAACTAATTCAGTCACATTCGGGTCCCATAACTACAACGTCAAAATTGTACTCAATTAAAAAAAAACGTAGTCAGGTATACAAGGGTCTATTCCTTTAAAATCAGATCTTTCACACTGGATCAAGAGACTATCGAACGTAAAAGATGCGGTTTTATAGAGATCGATAAAAAGACAAACCGATCAGTTGTGTGGCAAATTAAAATAAGATGCATTAGATCTAGAATGTTGGCGTTCGGCTGATGAGAATTTATTGATACTCAATCAATTTCGTCAACATAAACACATTGCGTCAAACAGCAGGACGTGGCTCTTCAAGTAGTCAAAGGGGAACAACTCTGTACAAGCAAAACTCCGAAACTGCTGCTATTTTCTGTAGATTTTAAATGTATTACAGTTTGTATACACCCCAGCGCCGTGTCGTTTCAAGCAAATAGTATACATGTGTCATTTAAGCGTAATTTATACAACATGGCAAATGATGATCAGTCTACTGAACAGCACTGTTTAAACTGAATATGTATATTCGTATTAAAGGCCATACGACCCACTGTACATATTCATTAAACATTCAAAGCAATGTAACAGTAAGTTAGAGTTTGCAGTTCTCCTCGTTGTTTAAACACATGGAAAATATATTTAGCTAAATTATTAATGGTTTCGGTGTTTCGAGAATTTAAAAGTGAATAAATAGATATGTAATGTGACTTTGTCCATCGTTTTTCTTTGGAATGAATTATTTTCTTTTGTCTGTTAATATGGTGCAGTCGTACAATTAATGACTCATCTTCATGGGATAAACAGGTCCTACACAACTGGATATGAGGTGTGTTTGTTGTTTAACGCCCCATCCCTGATAAGTCTGGACCGGACAATCCAGTGATTGACATCATGAGAATTGATGTTCGCCAAATGAGAAACGATAACGTGATCAGCCAAGTTATTGAGCCTGACCACCCGATCCCGTTAGTCGCCTTTGAAGACATGACTTGCTGAAGACCAGTTCAACCCAGATCTTCAAGTGAATGAGTGAGTGAGGTGGATTTTACGCCGATTTTAGCAATATTCCAGCAATATCAAGGCGGGGGACACCATAAATGGGCTTCACACATTGTGCCCATGTGGGGATTCGAACCCGGGTCGTCAGTGTGACGAACCGACGCTTTAACCATTAGGCTACCCCACCGCCCCCAGATCTTCAAGAATGCTAGGTGAAGTGAGATAGTATATAACGTCCATTTAAGATTATTTCACTTATAAAGCAACGTGTCATCTTTTAACGACTTTTGGTATAACATGACCGGGGATCGAACACCGACCTTAGGCTCACTGGGTTGACGCTCTGTCTACTGGACGATAGGAGCGGTGCGGTATCCTAGTGGCTAAAGCGTTCGCTCGTCACACCGAAGACCTGGGTTCGATTCCTCACATAGGTACAATATGTGAAGCACATTTCGGGTGTCCCCCGCAGTGATATTGCTGGAATATTGCTAAAGCGGCGTAAAGCTCACTCACTCGCTACTGGACAAGTAACCCCGATTCTCTAAACGTTGAACAATTTGAAAATGACGCATTTGGGAGACTTTTGTTACTATATAAACCTTCTCAGTCTTGTTTTTCATCCACAACTCGGTTAATAAGAGGTCATGTCACAGGGTATATTTTAATTGATTATGAACATTTCTGTGGGTCACCTGTCACCATTATGCACGTTTTTTTCCGAATTGGCACGCACAGCGCACCTTACGTGTGGGCAATAAGTACATCCGGGGATCTTGCGCCTGCAGTCCGTGCAATTGCTCGGGAGACAGGTCACCTGACAATAATCTGCAACAACGTCTCGTGCATTCAGTACGTACCCTTCTGTCTTGATAACACCTGGAATATGGGGCTTACGTTTTTCAGGTATGTGAGAGTTTGAATGAATGTTGAATTCTTTGATGTTAATGCAGGATATGGTCCTCAATGTCACGAATATTTTTGCAGCATTACACCAATTCTCTAACGACTAACGGCATCGAACCAGCCCCATGTGCTGAAATAATCGTGACTATGGGACATTATCCAACTTGAACCAAAGACCCAGTCAAAATACGTGGTGAAGTAATGTCCACGGAATATCCACGTGCACAGATATTAAAGGGTCGGGGTGTTTTTGGTATTGTTTACAAGTCAAAAGGAGATATTCTATGTCAACAGGTGCTTTCAATGTACATCGTGATTCTCGTCTGAAATGGGCGGTGGTGGTAGTTATGTGGTTAAAAAGATCTTTCTCTTCACGTCGAAGACCCAGGTTCGATTCTCCAAATGGGTTCAATGTTTGAAGCGTATTTCTGGTGAAACACACACACACACACACACACACACACACACTTATATTGCTAGAAGAATATTGTTGCACTAAACTAATTCGATCAGTTCCTGTGGAACCAAACTGTTTGAGGGTGAACTTCGTTGAAAATGAGGAAAGAGTTCCTTCCGTTCCGATTGGAGGGCTTCTGTTGTATATTCAGACAAGTGGAGGCTTTAATTCATTATGACAGTGAGTCAATTATCTTCAACTGTGCTTCATCTGACTGATTTAACGTTAGACAACAAAATGGTTGATAGTAGGTTTGTCTTAAATTATAAAGAAACGACACTATGAGATTATCAACTGTTCATAACATAACATCCGCCATGAGTGCGGCGTTAAACTACACCTTACTCACTCACTCACTCACTCACAACATACCTAAATATTTTAGACTGATAGTGGGAGCACACAGTGGTTAAAGCGTTCCCTCGTTACGCCGATGCTCCGGGTTTGATTCCCCACGAGTACAATGTGTGAAGTCCATTTCTGTCCCCCGACGTGATAATTATTGCTGGAATATATCTAAGCGGCGTAAAACCTCACACATTCAACTGAACTTTTGAAAACCATGCTGAGGGTGCGGTACATAAATATTTTGAATGGCGTGGAGAAATACTTTATATTTAATAATTTGCTGATCAGGCTCCCTGACATGTTTGCATTCCATCGTATATCGTAGATCATTGCTCGTGAATCACCGTGGTGTCTGGTCCAGACACGATTATTTAAAGACCGCTGTCATAAAGAGCTGTCAATTTGCCGAGTAAGGTTTTAAACAACAAACAAAATAACGTCTTTAGTTCACTTGTATTTATTTCATAATACAAATGCATGTTCCGATTGGTATCTGCAGATGAAATTACCTGTATTTTTGTACTTTGATGAAAGAGATCTTTGAAAATGAAAGAAGCGCCCGTTAAATATAGCCAGAGATACATTGATTTGCCTCGCAATGTGATTTATATGGCAGACAAACGTTTCAGGCTCAACAGCGACAGGTCTAGCTTAGACTGGCATTTAGTGACAGGATAGCTGTCATTTAGGAATTGATGGAAAGACTTCCGCCTGCACGCACGCACGCGCACACACACACACACACACACACACACACACACACACACACACACACACACACACACATCGGCGTTCAGTGGGATGTGTAATAGGATATCTAGAAAAGCATGTTTACTCGTAAAATACGAATAGCTATTGAAAACAATAGATCAGACTATAGATGACAATTAGGTCGCTCAGCCAGGTATGACGACGGATCGTCGACTCCTCTGGCATGAAATGCACGTGCTGCCTACAGGCGCAAGGGGTCATGTCAAAGATATTTTATGCTATTTCATATGAGTTGAATATGTTTCATCTATTGTTTGACATTTTATGTCTTTCTTTCATAAAGTTTATGTTGAGATATGTAAAAAGAGTATGATACCCATAGCAAAGCTTAAATATTATTTGTAAATTGTATGACATACCATTTGCTTTCCCAGTTTTATTCCACTAAAGGATTATCTTGTCTTAGCTGATATATCTATTCCCCCGTACGACCCCATCCACCGCCAGCGACACCCGTCCTGGGTTTGCTTTTGAGACGACCCTCCTACCTGTTTGTTCTTATAGTGATAGTGAGACTCCATGGTAGCTACATCCTTAATAATTTCAGTATTAAAGTTTTTACGTCAGCTATCGTTTATAATGAAGCTAAGACTAACTGCAAAATGGGCATTTAAATATTGTCTTTTGTAATACATTGTCATCGCACATTAATCTGCATAAAGCCATGGTCTGTTCCAAATTTGTCGCTTTGGACTTCGTAAAAACCACATTGCTCATTTTGCACTAATCTCTCCTCAGTAAAGTCTTCTTTTTTTTTTGACGTTTCCTATATCCCTACCACTGAGACTGTAGTTAGGCCGAACTTTGTTTAACAGGTATTTCACACTTTCACATATTAACTACATAAATTGTGGATGTAAATGTGAATACACACAAACACACACACACACACACACACACACACACACACACACACACAGTTTTTACTATTTCCGACAGTACTTTAGTCAAATCATATGACCTAAGTATATACTAAGCAGCAGAAGAAACGTCAGTTTGGAATTTTCCTTCGCAGAAACGGATAAACTGTAAACTCATTTCATGTTTTGATAGTATATTTTTGACAACATCTCCAACTTTACCTGAGCAAAGACATTCTTTCCCAAACTCAGAATTGAACCCAGGAAATGTCACAAAACGTAACCTGATCTCGGAAATGGTACGGTGTTCTCCATGTTTTTCATGGAACTCAGGCTGCACGTGCTGTTCACAAGGACCAGCCCTATAAAATGCACCCCCAAACCTGGTTGAAACATTCACATTACAACGTCAGCAGGATGCCGCGACTCACGACAGCTCAGAGGAACCAGGCGCTAGGAAGACTTGAAGCTGGCCACACTGCACAAGCCTTTGCCAATCACTTCCAGGTCAATGTTCGGACCATCTACTGGCTGCAGCAACGTTTCCGGGTCCACCATCACCACAAATGATCGCCCCCGTACTGGCAGACCAAGGGTGACCACAAGACAAAACCGCCATGTTGTGCGACAGCATGTACAGAATCCCTTCATGCAGGCATCCGAACGAGCACTCCAGACAGTGGGAACACCTGTGCGGAAGACCAATCAGTACTCTTACAGTACGCCGACGTCTTAACAGCGGGAACCTACATTGCCGTAGACCTTACCGTGGACCTATCCTCACCCCTCGTCATCGGCGCGAACGTCTACACTTCGCCCTACAACACCAAAACTGGAGATACAGGCAATGGAGAATTGTTCTGTTCACAGATGAGAGTCGGTACTGCGTATCAACTGCAGATGGCAGAACAAGAATATGGCGACGAGGTGGCCAGCGTTACTCAGACCAATGTGTTATGGAAAGAGACTCATGGGGAGGTGCAAGCATCATGGTATGGGGTTGAATAGGCCTGAACCAGAGAGTGGGTCCTGTGATGTTCCAGAACCTTGGTTCAGGGAGAGGAGGCGGCATCACAGCGGTGCGCTACATCGACCAAGCTCTCAGACCCCACGTCATACCACATTTCGCACGTCAAACCACATTTCGCACGTCACCGGAACAACATTTTCCAGCATGATAACGCCCGGGCCCATACTGCCAGAGCTGCACGAGACTTCCTACAGCAGAACGGTGTCAACATTATGCAGTGACCAGCCCTTAGTCCTGATTTAAACCCAATTGAATGTCTTTGGATGAAATTCAGAGGAGACTGAATAATGTCATACCAACGCCGAACACAGCTGATTTCTTGCGCCAGGCCTTTCTCAGAGTGTGGTTCCAGGTGCCAATGGCCTTCATCAATCGATTGGTGCACTCCATGCATAGACGCTGTGCTGCAGTTATTGCCGCTCGTGGTGGTCACACTAGATACTGAAGTCAAGAGTCTGAATGGACTGCAAACGTTTACGTAATGTCTTGAAATGGTGCCGAGTTATTCATTGATGTGTCAAGATATTGTACACATAAAATGTTTTTGATCCGCTTATTATGTCCATTTCTGTAATGATTTGATTACAGTGCCTATCTAATTTTGAATTCGTACTGACGTGGGTTTTTTTGCTGCTGAGTATATATTCCTCATCTGATAAGGATGAGTTTTAACGTGTTTCGTTATTTGTATCTGAACATGCTGTAAGGCATATCCAACTCATCGTTAAAATTTAGGGGGGATACGGGCGGAAGTCTTACCATGAATTGCTCACTAACACAAAATCTAATAATTGCAACAGCCAGGTAATCAAGAGTGTGCAGTGAAATTGCAATTTCACACGTGCAACCCGCACACCTGGCTGTTCTTCCAGCAAAAAAAAAAATAAAATAAAAAAATAGCAAAAAGTGACATCAAAATAACGATCGTTTGTTAAACACCTTTTTTATTCAGGTGTCAAAAATTATGACACAGATCATCATTGACACTTTAGACCTTCAGAGTTTAGACCATCAGAGTTTAAACCATCAGAATTTCAAGTGACTGCATAATTTGGTTTTGTTGCAAACATTAGATTTTGTGTTAGTGAGCAATTCATCGAAATACACAATGCCATTTTAGAAAGTGATCAAATGTAACATATGTTATATTTTGGATTACACTTTCTTAGTAAAGTATAGATTCTAGTACTTTCTTTGGGTTGAGCCATGCCAATTAACACTTATCGGAGGGGTACACAAAGTCCGCAGTCTAGACTATCAGTTGTCCGACTTCCATTTTTGTGGAAGCTGCGGTGGCTGAGCGATCTAGGCGTCTGACTTTGTGTGCTGGCGATTAGGTGCCTGACTCTGAGGGTGTGGGTTCGAATCCCGGATGGGACTCAACCCCTTAAAAAGTACTAGAATCTGTACATTACTAAGAAAGTGTAATCCCAAATATAACATATGTTACAGCAATTCATCAGTCTCAAATGAAATCAAACGGACTGTAAGATAGATTGTTAACGTTAACGCCACTGGCGTTCAGCAGGTCATTTCTGAGTGTGGCAGTCACGAACGTCGAACGTCCTGCAGTTTTGGTTTGAGCTCTGTCCGTCCGTCCGAGATAATGGGGACAGGTTTTCTCAAAAACCGTTGTAGATAGGTAACCCAAATTTGGTAGGTGTTTTCAAGACATGAATGCGTGGGAGTTCGAAAACGGAAACCGTGTTACGATTCTTTAACAATTTATGGCCCTTGTCATGCGTTTCTTGACTTAGTGCACGTTATCCCCAAGGGGGACAGATTTTCTGGAAAACCTGTATAGATAAGGAAAACAAGTTTGATATGTGCTTTCAGGACATGATTGAGTTAGGAAACGGAAACCGTGTTTGTAGGAAGAATGAATAGTTGTCAAGATGGGAACAGAACACTGGCGTGGGATATTGATGACCATGTCTTCTTGTTCCGATAGAACGACGCCGCAATCCACTTTTCATCGTCTGTATTGTCAACAGTGTAATGTACTCGGTATTCAGGTGTTCCTAAGACACATGAATGTCTGCAAGACACAACGAGGAGTAACCCAGGCTTTCATGTTTAATTCAAGATCGGCTAACTGATCAATGGCATGACGTCATCGGTTCCCAATTGCGCAGATGACGTAATCATGCTACGTTGTACAATAGGATTGTCTGTTCCAGACTACGATTATTTACAGACCGCTACAATATTGCTGTTTCGGCGTAAAACTAAACTCACTCACTCACTCATTGTATATAAGATTTTACAAGTGTGAAGTTTTTAATTTGTTTGGTTAAGTATGTAAGCGATTCACATCAAGTTGATCTATACTGGATCTCCATTCAACTCAAGAACTCGTTGATCGTCCTTGACAGTAGTAGCAATGTTACAGATATTACTGTATGGTGTCCGTCAAGGCTGTGATCTAAGTCCATTGTTGTTTATTTTCTTCATAAACGAGTTCATTAATGAAATATACAGCCAATGTACCTACTGAGTATTTCAGTCATACTTCTGCTTCTTGCTGAAGGTCCGGGTTAGAATGTACCTTCAGTAACCCATGCTTGTCGTAAGAGGCGACTAACGTATGGTGGTCACTGACTTGGTTGGACACATATCATCGTACCCCAATTGCGTAGATCGATGCTCATGCTGTTGATCACTAGATTGTCTGGTCCAGACTTGATTATTTACAGACCGCCGCCATATAGCTGGAATACTGCTGAGTGCGGCGTAAAACTGAACTCACTCTTTTGCTGATGACGTTAGTTGTCTTTGAGTTTACACAAACACTTGTTTGTTTTACGATTATTTTGGTCAAAATGGAAACTTGACGAAAGACAAAACTAATATCGTGTTTGGAAATGGAGAAGAAAATCGCTCAGAATGAAATAAACATACCAGATTATTGCAGCCAAAATTATACTCATGTTTGGATTCGAACCTGTTCGCCTTGGGCGTGACGTTTGAACGCCGATTTTAGCAATAACCACTGGGGACACCACTTCCACAAAGCCCCTTAGCGCTTGAACCACTAGTACCAACTGTTGATAGAAAATGAGTTCATTTGTTTTTGTAGGGCTTCAGTCTGTTCTTTTATATATATTGCACATATCTAGCTAAAGCTACCGTGGAGAGGTTGAAAGAGGTTTCATATTTCAAGTGTTTTATGGGCGTGGGTAAGTCCGCATCAAACAAGGCTGTTCCAGGTGAATCCGTAATGTTTCTTCATTAGTTGGATAACCCTATTGACAGTGTACTCATTTCAAAGTTAGAACACCTGATGAAAATGCAAAATATAATTTGGTGTCAGTTAGACCCTTACTTTTTAAAAACTAGATATGTTTGGATTTCACATTGTTGGAAATGTACAACTGTTCATATATTCTTTCAAACACTACATGACATGTTCCGGCAGAACTAGCATGATTATATCGCTTCCTAATATTTTCTTATTTATTCGAATCTTAGGTCTCTTGCAGCCAGAGAAATAAAGATAAGATAAAAGATCAGTCATTAAGAAGAGCTTTTTTGTGCAAATTTCGGAACTGCCTGCACTGCATCAGAATAAACATACATAGGAAATTGGATGAACGGAAAAGACGAATTCCAGATTTTATTTGTCTGTGAAATCTATAATGGCTTGAAGTAAACATCTGCCTGAATGCAAAGAGACATGTCATAATGCAGTTAAAGAGACATCTCTTTAGTTCTCATTAAACCAAGGTTATAACTGCCTAAGCTTGTTTCTAAAATGTTTGTTTCACGTCAACACGTGACAATATATTATCTAGTGTCTGTACGATGGGCCATTAGGCTTTTAATAAACTGTCTAGTGTACCGTTGCAGCATTAAACACAAAATAAACTAATGTAGTTAAATCGCTTGGTTCTATCATACTGGCTTTCCCTTCATTTCAACATGCTGACGTCTAATGACGTCATAAATATTTACTCATTCTCTTGGGGCGGTGAGGTAGCCTAGTGGTTAAAGCGTTTGCTGTTCACGCCGAAGGCCCGGGTTCGATTTCCCCGCACGTGTACAACGTGTGAAGCCCATTTCTGGTGTCCCCCGCCATCATATTGCTGGAATATCTGTCTTTCCGTTGATTATGTCCCATCTTCTTTAAAAAGTGCTTCTGTGAAACCTTTACTGAAGAAAAATGGATTGGATATCTAACCTTTCCTAGGTGTCGAAGCTCTTGGAGAATTCTGTGAAGACTTGTCTTGTGACACATCTCAATGATCTTTATGATCCTTTTCAGTCTGCTTATAGATCAAACCACAGCACGGAGACATCCCTGCTCAGTGTCATGGATACTCTACTTGGGGCAGCGGGACAACTTAGTGTGCTTGTTCTTCTCGACTTGCGACTTGCCTGTGTGGTCTTTGACACTTTAGACCACAAGAAGCTTCTCGGGTGTTTACAGGACCGGTTTGGTCTAAGTGGTAACGTGTTAAAGTGGTTTTCGTCATATTTGGGAAACAGAACACAGTTCGTTCTCATCGATGACCCGATCAAGTTTACATGAAGTTATTTATGGAGTTCCACAGGGATCAGTCCTTGGACCCTTGATGTTTACTCGTTACACACGTAGCCTTTGTGAGCTGATTAGTCAACACTCTGTGAATCACCACTGCTATGCTGACGACACTCAGCTTCAGAGATCAGTTCTTCCTCAACAGTCAGAAACTCAGATCGTTCATGTTTTACAGTGCATTTCTGATGTGAAATCTTGAATGTCAATCAATAAACTATAATTGAATGACAGCAATTCTGACCGGTTCAACCATGAATCGGACCAAGGTTAAAGTGGACTCGATCACAATTGGTAACTCAGTGCAACCTTTCAGTACAACAGTCAAAAAAGTCTTAGGGTCATCATGGACTTAAACCATTCTATGGACAATGTCAATAACGTGTGTCGTGCATGCTATTTCCTTGTGAGGAACATCGCCAACATGTGATGCATCACACCATTTGGAGAGATCCATGATCCTCTCACGGTTGGATTACTGCAACAGTCTACTGGGTAATGTGCATCAGGATCTTGTCACCAAATTACAGCGCGTTCAGAATGCAGCTGCACGGACCATCACACCAGTCCTTGTCAAGCTCCACTGGCAGCCGATCGAAGCAAGGATTGAATGCAACATCTTGTGCATCACATACCACTGTATCAAAGGCTCAGCTCCATCCTACCTGACAAACTTGGTGAAAACTTATGTTCCACCTCGATGCCTCAGATCAGCTAACAACTCACAATTCCCTTAGCCAAACTGAAAACCTTTGGACATAGACGCTTCTCTTTCACATCCGCCTCTCTCTGGAATGATCTGCCGTTCTTCATTAAAAACTCATGAACACTGTCTACTTTCCTCTTCCAAAAATGTTACCCTGATGCCCAGTCTAGCTGTGTGATCAAAAGCGCTGCGAGCAATCACTTGGTGTTTGGAAACTGTGCGCTATACACAATGACTTATTATTAATGTTGCTAACAGCGGCGTAAAACCCTACTAATTTTTCTTGGCTGAAGTGTGTGGCCATATCCTGGACGTGTAGGTGTATTGTCTTATATTGAGGTCTACACATGCAAGCAGTCACTTGGCTACGTGCGAACCGTTGCTATATATTGTCTCGCTGTCCAGGTATAAAGATCAGTGGCTTGTACTTGGTATTGTTCGACTTGCAAAGCGTTGAGGAATTCGCAGCAAGACATTCCACTAGCAAAATGTCACTGTTACTGTACTTTTACCGGATATTTTTTCTTTTATTTGACTGCTTCACGTGTTGAATATATAGGCCAAATATCAATCCCATTCCACTACCTTGATAAGGCATTGCACGTTCTGACTTGACAATGCCAACAAGATGTTTGGTTTTATGCTGCTTTTAGCAATATCACGGCGGGGGACACCAGAAATGGGCTTCACACACTGTGCCCATTTGGGGAATTGAACCACTTGGCTACCCCACCGCCCCGCCAACAAGATGAAATGCAAAGGCGTTTGTGACGGAGCTGCAAGATCGTATCCTTCCTGTTATTGAATGCCACGTTTACGAGCTTAAACAGACTCGGCACAGGGGAAGGCCCTTTATGCACAAGAAATGTTTATAAACGTCTCGTGCGACACTCCTTCACTGACATATCCTACCTTCAGACACTATTCTTTCCATTGTAGGAATCAATCCACGCCACAATCGTTGTACATCGCACCATAACTGAATGTGTATATCCTTTGACAGATGTTTTATCAACACAACACACACCACCATACATTTTTTATTTGATTAACCACATTGTGAAAAATGTTAGGACAATTGTTCGTAGTATTGTCATCTCAGGTAGTGTTTCCATGTACTATTTCCCCAGGGCCACATAAGCAATATTCCAGCTATATGACGGCTGTGAACAATCCATTGATTGAGCATTGGGATAGATGACAAGCATCAAAGAAGTCCGCGAGGCTGACCATCCAAACCCTTTTGTGGTCCAGAAATGCCGCTCCTGACCGCTCCATCTGATGACTGAACATGATGGGGTCCTAAGCACATCCAGTGAGATGAAACGTTGCTGCATTTACTAGAACGTGCAAATGGCTGGCGTTTTAATGCCTAACCATGCAATTCGTTTGCGGGAACAAATTCAGACCTATTTCATGCTTTCACCAAAAACACAGGTGGATTGGTGGGCTTGCCATGTCCACATGTATGTATTATAGCAACCTCAACAAAACTGAAGTTAAAATGAGAATGACTTCCATATATTTTGGCATAAAAGATGTTCAAACTTTGCATGCATCTGTATATCACTGCATGAATATTTTAAAGTCAATTCCAAACACCAAAGCCCCCCACTGTGAGAAAGTGGGCATCATGCAATACACAGCACACATTCATCTATATATAAGTTGAATTTATTCCGAGTGTACAGCTTGGGACAATAGCACATGGCTGGGCATCACAGGTTCTTTTTGGACAGAAGCTACACAACACTATCAATGGACTGATAAATACTGACCCTCGACATTCTGCCAACACTACATGACAGGCCCGACTATACAAATGTTTCACTCTGTATACAGAGAAGCAAATCAGTAGAAACATTCACTCGTCATTCTGAATATGTAAAGTATACATAACACATACAGTTTTGATGAATATCGTTGACTAAAAGCAAGCATTTATTACCTCTCCTTGAAAAATAGAAGATACAAATGTCTCCAGCAACTAATCTCCTAGCCCCTGCTTCAAACACAGCCGTTAACCCAGATAACAGAATAAATATATATCTGGATGCAATGGTCACTTTTGGCAGTTAAACTGTTTTCAACATAGGACGAGGTTACCTGTAGATATTAAATTAATAATGGAAAATAAATTACCTTCTTAAAAATAATTTTTAAATAATTGTAATCAGATTCCCCAACCCCCCTACAAATTATACAGTTATCTACAAGAGCCAACTAAAAAGATTACTATCGTTAAAACATAAGGTCCATGGTAATGTATGTTGCAATCTCGGTTTTATTGTGGTTTGAGAACTTCTTAAAATAATGATAGAATTGCCAGTTAACATTCATATGATGATAATGTAGATTTCCAGTGATGTGTGATTGTACGAATGTAAATAGATCCTTGAGTCATCCTCCTTCCACTCCGAGCTTCACATTCAGCTCAGTCCTGGCAAATAGGGTAGTGCCACTTGTCAACACACACTGAAAAGCACACAACAGTTTTTAAGAGTGATAAGCGTAGCTTTACATGGCGGGGTACACCAGAATTAAGTGAGTGAGTGAGGTTAGTTTTACACCGCACTCAGCAATATTACAGCTATATGGCGGCTGTAAATAATCGAGTCTGGACCAGACAATCCAGTGATCAACAGCATGAGCATCGATCTACGCAATTGGGAGCCGATGACATGTGTCAAGTCAGCGAGCCTGACTAACGAGATCAGGTGGTCGCCTTTTGTGGCAAGCATGGGTTGCTGAAGACCTATTCTACCCCGGATCTTTACGGATACCAGAATTAAGAGCGAGATAACAACTATGTTCAAATCTGGACCAGACATTCCAGTTACTGACAACATGAACAACATCCCGTGCCATCAGGGTACAGAGTAACACCATCCACAAAGTCACCAAGCCTCAATTGACTTGGTCGCCCCGTGGAACCAGCACGGGTCGCCCTTTGTGCCAGTTCCACAGAGAGGATCATGGGGCACAATTCGTGTTTAAAAACTTTACCGATCATGATAATTTCAAAACTAGAATTCAAATAGTTTGCAAAACCAAATATCATATATTTGGTTCTTCATCAATAGTTGTTTCATTAATCAGAACTTAGTATTACAGTTCACTACTGCATCAAAGAATGTTAGTCAAAACATCAATGACAGAATCTCTCACCTTCAGGATCAACGTCTAGTGCCGCCGCGCTGGTGCAGCTGTCTGTAGCAGAAAACAAAAACAGTGAGATCTGATGCCATGACAGCAACATTCCTGGTTTATCATTTCCGGACGCCAGCACTGGGCCGGTTCCACAGAATGATCTTAGATCCAATATTTTAGCATATTCACAATAGTCATAGCACCAACAAAGATTTGTAAAACAGGCCCCAAGCTCCACACAAGCATCCATGAGGTGAGTCGGAGCCTTCAGTCATTTAACAACCACTCACCATTCTTTGTGTTAAGCCATATTTCAGTTTTATATATAGAAATGTGTCAGGCATTTAGAAGTTGGACTAACATGAATACATTTCAATAACTTCATATTTGAGTCATGAGATAATACATACCTTAAATGGAAATCAGCAGTGTTTCTGCATGAACTTCTCCATTTTCAGTGTAACCAGGCTAACAAGAGGTACTTTTAACCATTTTGTCTTGACTGAGTGAGTTTAGTTTTACGCCGATGTTAGCAATATTCCAGCAATATCACGGCGGGGGACACCAGAAATGGGCTTCACCATGTGCCCATGTGGGGAATCGAACCGGATCTTCGGCGTGACAAGCCAACGCTTTAACCACTAGGCTACCCCAACGCCCCCCATTTTGTCTTGAACCAGAATAAACTGTATTTATACCATATTTTCAGTTTTCAGGATTCTGAACATTCTTACATTAATATGATTCATATACTAGTATCAAGGGCAGACACTTGAATCCCTGTAACCATGGCAACCTGCACTACACACTGTAGCAGCTACAATCAGTAAGTATTGTCATTAAGTCATTTCTAACAATGTTTTAAATATTATACTTTCACACAAAAAGAAACAAAGTGAAAATAAACAAGACAAGAAGCATCTCAAAGTTGAAAGACATGGTTAAAGTGAGTGAGTTTAGTTTTACACTTCACTCAGCAACATTCCAGCTATATGGTGGTGGTCTGTAAATAATAGTCTGCACCAGATAATCCAGTGATCAAGAGCATGAGCATTTGGGAACCAATGACAAGCAAGGGTTACTGAAGATGAATTCTAACCCGGATCTTCACGGGTCTCATGCATAAAGACTCAGCTTGAAATATGACCAAAATAAAGTGTGATTAGACAATAAAGTTATTTGATAAATCCAATAACAGGTGATAAATCTTTCCTTTTAAATTATGCAAAAAGAAAAATACAACTAGGTCTCAAACAATGGTTTCAGGGAGATTCCTATTTTTGTCTGGTTTTATAAATGGGAGTAATTTTCAGGTGTCTTCAAGGTGCACACATGCTAAAACAAGGTGTACACGAGTTATACATGCCAACAGTGATGTATACTAACTGTGCATAACATAAAATTGCATAAAACAAGCATTGTCACTAAGGTGACATAATCCCCCACCGTAAATCATCAAATCAAACTTAAAAAGTAATGAAAGTGAAGGTCGTAATTTAAGATGAAGTTAAATGTCAACAAAAAACATGACCAGTCAACCTCTCTTGATATCTTGCTCTGTTGTTTGTTCAAACACACAAATATTTTCAAGACTCAGTTTGACCTTGACATGAATGTCAGTGTATGAAATATGCAAGAATAGTAATAAAGAAATTGCTTATTGAAAAACATTCAAGTCTATGAAGAAAATCCAGTGAACTGTTCTTGAGATATCTCGCTGACAAGGGTAAAATGTTAAAGTCCCTATGTGACCTTGAAATGAAGGTCAAGGTCACTAAACCTGACTGGGACCTTTCTTTTACTGTGATGAACCTAGGTACCACATATGAAAAGAATCCAGTCAACGGCTCTTAAGATATTCCAATTCGATGTACAGACGGACGGACGGAGCCTAATACTATTATCCTAATACTATACCTTGCACATAACTTTTATATCCCCCGCCGTGCGTTTAGGGGATAAAAAAGTTGTGTGCAAAGTTAGAAAAACAACCCCAAGGCCAGACCAATTTTATTTCTTGTTTTGCGGATCTGCCTGTTGTCTTTTTTCAAAGAATAAGAAAAGAAATAAAAATTAATTTTCCCCACTCAAAAAATAAAATCCTCATGTTTTTATTGGAATAAAACGTAAACTTAAAAAAGAAAAATCACATGTGGCACTTGCACTTTGTACACAAATCTTGTGTTCCCATTATGTTGAAAACATCTCCATAGAGATGAGATCATGTTTTGATGGGCACTAAAATGTCTGGCCACTTATTTTGGGCCATTCCAGTCTCCTGCATACCCACGGCACGGAAACGGCACTGATTTTCTGTAAGCCATGGCATGACGTATGCACAGTTTAGGTTGAAATTAACATGTTTTCCACAACATTCAGAGGCTAGAAAATAAACAACCGTTCTTCAGTTTTCAATATCAGGTTTCAAAAAGCATGCAAAATGTGAGTAAATTCAATTTGCCTCGGTTGTTGATTTCATCTGGAGAGATCAGATGGCAGGGTAAGGGTATCCTGTTGCGTGCATTGTTCAACATCGACAGTTTGGTGGCAGCAGTGTTATGGCATAAGGAGGCATCGTATCTCATGGTCGGTCACTGTCAATCTGACAGGCCTGCGATACAGGGATGAGATCACTTGGCCTCATGTACAGCTGTTCATTCAAGGACAGAGACGTAACTTCACTTGCATGTTGTGACAGATAGCCCTGAGACAGCACAACATTCTCGTACTCCCCTTACCTATCCCCTATCAAGCACACTTGGGATGAAGTGGAGCAACGTTTATGTCAAGTCCAGAATCAGCCACTGACGTTAGCTGAATTGGGATAAGCGTTGGTTCAGACATGGAACAATATCCCCAAGCTTTCTTCAATTGCTTAGTATCATCAATACCAATGGTGGACACACATGATGCTGAATTGTGAACTGACTTTTGACACAACATCACTTTAAGGGCGTGTCATGATGCCCAGGTAAAATACCGTACACCCTTTCCAATTGGGAGCAAAAGTGTTTGACAGTGAGTGCCACTAATTGTACAGTCCGTTTGAGTCAGAACGGACCGATGAATTGCAAATTTTATCATTGTACAAAATTGCCACATAAATATAAATAGTACACATGTTTATCATTTACTAATACCCAACAGCTTTCTTATATTTGAAAATTTTCCAGGCTCCACCAAAAAAGTTCTTTAAGAAACTATCATCATTGAAAACACAAAAGTTGTTATCTGTCGCGGCGGGGTGAAACGGCAGAAACGGAACAGCCACTATCTCGTCGTGCACGGGATACACATGCCTGATGAAAAATGAAGTTGATTGCTGACGTGAAACAGTTGATGATTAAAGTGTACGATTTTTTCCGTGCTGAAGCCGAAAGGGGCAAACCATTTTATGCCCTAGCATGGACTGATAAAGGTCTATTTTAATCTGGATTCTCTCAAATGACAAACTTCGCCAGCCAGCCTGACCACTGATACCATGAAGTTGTTTCTTATGACAAGCATGGTTGCTGAACTAATTCTAACATGGATATTCATTAAAGCAAATAATGAGAGTTAAGTTTTACGCCGCTGTTGAGTGAGGAACGCCAGAAATGGGCTTCAATGTGGGGAATCTAACCCGGGTGATGAGTGAAAGCTTTAACTACTATGCAGCCCCATGCCCCCTTAAGCGATAATGAATTAATATGGGAGGAGAAATGTAGATTTTACATCTTCCCCCTGTAACCATAGATACAAAGTAACAGATATACTAAACCGTAATTAATGAAACTAGGAGCAAGGTATCCTTGGGTGTAAAAAATGGAAACTATAAAACCTTAAACAAAGCAAAGAAAAACCAAACAGATTAGGCTGGTCAAGGAAGAAATGCATATAGCCTTGAGCCTAAAGGCCATTACAACAGCTTCTTCTGATGTTAGCCACATGTTATTAGATGAGTCTTGACGCTTGTGTTAAGATGATATAGGGCCTGAGACCGGATGTTGTTGAAGGGTGTGGCTGGCTCGTGTAAAAAAGCGTGAACTAACAGATGCGCCAAATGGGAAAGCACAGTCAAAAACTACGCCAGCAGAGTCCTGGACACTCCAGCACGCCGAGAAAACTCAGTGCTAGTAGCAGAGAAAGGTCACCGATCAGACACGAAAATGTCAGCGTCAGATTTTGACCTATCATCCAACATGGCGGACGAAGTCACCGAGCATGGTATCACACTAGAGTCTCTCTATACGGAGATAAGGAAGAATCGCGACGCCATGGCGACCGAAACCAGAGAAATAAAACAATCCATGGAATTTATCTACAGTGAAATATAGGACATGAAGAATGCTCAGAGTGATATGACGAAAGATTTACATGCTACTGAAAACACGGTATCCACATTGGAAACTCGTTTATCCAGCCTAGAACAACAAGTGCTTGATCAAGATCGTTATCACAGGGGACTTAATCTCCTGTTTTTCGGAATAGAGGAGACAGCGGAGGAGAATGTCAAGGAAGTTCTGACAGGCTTTATAACTGGACAACTGAAGATGACTAAATTGCCAACCATTGAGAACTGTCATAGACTTGATTGACCTACTCTCACACTCAGACTGGACAACCGAGGCCTATCATCGCACGGTTTGTTTTTCGTCCTGAGCGAATCCAGCTTCTCATGCAGGCAAGAAAGATTCTTAAGGGATCAGGGAAACATTTCTATGTTAAAGAAGATCTTCGAAACAGGACATTGAAGCTAAAAACTCCTTCAACCAGTGATGACACAAGCATGGCAAGAAAAGAAGAAAGTGCGTTTTATTAAGAGAAGATTGTTCATCAATGGGACCCTGTACAGACCGTGAACGTTATACCTTATTATGTGGCTTTATCTGTAAACACAAAGGGACATTTGTGACCCTGGAAATACGTGAAACTGTGTTCATTTTCAGTTCAAATATATACATTTAAATAATGATTATATTCGTTGACAGTTGAGGTACAAGGATTGTACTTTTTATTGAGAACTTTATTTATATATTTTGACATGTTATCTTCACGAACAATAAGGTCAGGTATCACTTTTATACAGACATGGAGTTATTCAGGAGTAAAATTAGTCTACTCCTTTTTATTTTAGGTATATATACACTATGCCGACAACAGTTTACATTAGGTCTCTACAGAAGGAGTTAGTTTTCTTGAATTTGTTACCTTTTTATTGTTTTTTTCTTTCTTTAACGGTTTGTTGATAACATTATCTGTGGTATATACCATGGTCAAGATCATTACATTGAATGTGAGGGGACTAAGAGATAAACATAAGCGAAGAGAAATATTTTTGTTTTAAAAAAGCAAGATGCAGATATTTATTTGCTTCAAAGAGACTCATAGTGTTCCTGAAGATAAACCATTTTGGAGTCAGCAGTGGGGAGGAATAATCAAATATATTTTAGTCATGGTTGTTCAGAGAGCAGAGGGTTGCAATCTTGATTAAGGGGAGACAACTCCGAGTCACTTCAGGTTCAAGTGACAACAAGGGGCAGGGTAATTATGATATTGAAAGGGATTCAGGTATTGAGACTGTTGTAAATGTGTATGCCCAAAATGGTTACAAAGAAAGAGAACATTCTTTTTCAAGCTATTCAGGATGAATTGTGTAAAACATATGTAGCAGGAGATAATCTTGTAATTGGAGGGGATTTTCATACAGTGTTGTATCCTTCAAAAGATAGATTGGGATCCTCAACCAAAACTAGCCAAACCTTAGCTAATCTTATGGTTAAGTTTGAATTAACACATATTTGGAGAGAAAATCACCCACAGGAAACTAAGTACACATGGAGAAAAATAATACTATTCAATCTAGGATTGATTTTTTATATTGTTACCAAATCTGTAGGATGTAGATGTGTTAACTCAAACATCATTCCAAGCATAAAATCAGATCACAAAATTGTTTTGCTAGAAATAGATAAAGATAGACATTTTGCACCAAATTTTTGGAAAATGAACAATTCTTGTCTTTTAGATGAGGAGTACAAGAATAAAATTAAGGAATTTCTGAAACCTTTTAGTCAGGACTGACTGACTGAGTTTAGTTTTACGCCGCTTTTAGCAATATTCCAGCAATATCACGGCGGGGGTTTTAGTCAGGAAGTATCAGTAAATGAACATGTGGATTGGGAGTGGATCAAGTATAAAATCATGCAGATTTCGAGAGACCATTCTAAAAAGATAATATATGAAATCAATAGAAATGAAAGAGACTTGATAAGAACATTAGCAATATTGGACTGTCAGTTGTCAGATGGTGAGAATGATAAAGTAGAACAACAATATCTGCAAGCTAAGAATGAGTTGGAAGATATTTATGTTAAAAAGGCTAAAGGTGCTTTTATAAGATCAAGAACTAAATGGTTTGAGGAAGGAGAAAAAAGTACTAGATATTTTTACAATTTGGAAAAGCAGAGTAAAGATAAAAGGCACATTTCTAAGATTGTAACAGAAAATGATGAAGTTGTTACAGATGAATTTTGCAACAGATAGAATCCTTTTATAAAAAATTGTATTCCCAAAGTGAAAGGCCAGTAGAATCTGATTTTGATGATTTCTTTATGGGGTGAATGTTAATTTGACAGACTGGCAAAAGGAAATTTTTGAGAGAGATATTACAGAAGTAGAACTGAAAGCAAGCTTATCTCAAATGAAAAGTAATAAATCTCCAGGATCCGATGGTAGATCAGCAGAATTTTATCAGTTGTTCTGGGAGGATATTAAAGTCCCATTTATAAAGAATTTACAGCATACTTTTCCAGTAGGAACCATGACTGTTTCACAGAAGAGAGGAATTATTACATTGCTGGATAAACCAGGCAAAGATCCCTTGCTAATTGAAAACAAAAGACCAATGACTCTGCTGAATGTTGACTATAAGATAACTGCCAAAGCTTTAGCTAATAGATTAAAAGAGTGCTCCCAGATATAATCCATCCTACCCAGACAGCATTTGTGAAAGGTAGATATATACGGTAGGAGAGAATATTAGATTTTTATTAGATTTATTGGAAATGTATGAAGACTCAGATGTTGGTTTTATTGTTTCACTAGATTTCCAAAAGGCATTTGACTCCATTGAGTGGGATTATATGTTAAAATGTTTTACAAAATTCAATTTTGGTGAGACAATGTGTAAATGGATTTCAGTTTTGTATGAAAAGCCTCAAAGTTGTGTTGTTAACAAAGGCAGGGCAACCAACTGGTTTCAGTTGTTCAAAGGTGTTAGACAGGGATGCCCTTTAAGCCCTTATATTTTTATCGTTTTCTCAAGAAATCATAAATATGAAAATCAGGAATTTTTTTAGATATTCAAGGGGTCAGAATTGGGAGAGAAAGAAATGAAAGGCATTTATTTTGCAGATGATACCAACTTGACATTAAGAAACATACAATCAGTAGCAAAAGCTGTAGAATTTTTACAACAGATCTGAAAAAATAACAGGCCTTAAGATAAATGTAAAGAAAAGTAATGTTATGCCTATACAGAACAGGTCCAATATGGAGTGTGGTATAAAGGTTTAGACATTGTTTATAGTGGCATTAAATGTTTAGGTATCCAATTGTTTAGAAATAATGACACTTTAGCAACAGAAAATCTCAAACCCCAAATTTTGAAAATAAGAAAACGATTCCAAATTTGGTCATCAAGAAATTTATCAATTTTTGGAAGAATTTGCTTTCTAAAGGGGAAGGTTGTTCAAAGCTCATATACCAAAGCAGTATGATGCAGGTTCCAGCAAGTTTGTGTAAAGAAATCAATGTGGAGTTTGGTTAGATTTATTTGGAATTATAAGAATGAAAAAGTGAAAAGAACAACAATGCTGAATGTAAAAGAACTAGGGAGAGCTTCTGTTTTTGTTAAACACACCACCTAAGTTACAGGGAAATATTATGAATGATAAGATTAAGTCTAGGCACTTTTATTCAATTATTGTGGATAACAAAGTCACTTTACCATATACATTTAATGATTCATCACATGCTAGCAAAATGTATGGTCTTTTCACAACCCTTCCGTTATCCAACAAGTTAAAAGAATTACAATTCAAAATTATACACAATATTGTGCCATGTAAGAAATGGTTGTTTAAACTTCACTTAAGTGAATCACCAGAATGTGACGACTTTAGAGGACGTTTCCCATTATTTCTATAATTGTAAAAATGTTACTTCAATGATTTAAGATTATGTGGAGTTTCTTTCTAAGTATTCACAGCAACAATTTTCTGTAGAATCCCTCTTGTACGGTTCAACAGATCACTTTGACCCAATATTTGACTTTTTAAATATGCATTTAAAATACTTCATATATAAGTCTCACTATACTGATACCAAAGTTTCTATGAAGCATTTCATTATAGATTTGAAATATGCTCTAGAAATATATAAATATTCAAAGGTAAAAGAGTTTATATATTTAGAAGCACTCATGTTAGATTTACAATAAAATTATAATTGGTAAATATTTGAGTTTTAAATGTGGATTTAAAATACTCTATATAAAAATCTCACTATACCAATATCAAAGTTTCTATGAAGCTTTTCATTATAGATTTGTAATATGCTCTGGAATTATATATAGGTAAAAGTTTGTGTATGTTGAAGCACTCATGATAGATTTACAATAGAAAATATAATTGGTAAAAGTTTAAGGCTATAAACCAGTAGTCCCTGACCACGTGGACTTGTATGGTTTGTAAAACCGTGGTTACCGAGGCTGAATAAAAAAAAAAGAAAGATATAGGGCTGTAAATGAATAGTACTTTCAAATTTACTGAAAGTCTTCATAGCATTGCCAGCAGCGCTCAAGCGAAATTGCACAAATCGTGCAAGCCACATGACTGGAATCAACAGGTGGAAATAAATATCTGTCTACTTACTTCTTGTACAAACTTTTTAGCCTCATCTGCTTCCACGTTGCATGGACTGGCAGCAACACAAGTATTTTCACTGAAACAACAAAGACTTACATAAGCTCTCACTGTCCTGCACCGTTCTATGAATGAGCAGTGAGTGATTTGGATTTTACGTAATATTCAAGCATTATCATGGGGACACAGAAATCGAAACTTCACACATTGTACCCATGAGGGGAATTGAAAGCGGGCATGCTACAAACTATGAGAGAGAGAGAGAGAATGAGAATGAGTGAAATATTTATAGTCAAGAACTTTCCCCACAATTTAACATAAATATTCATCACAACACATATTCATGCATATTATCAAATATGTATATGACTGTTTATGAGTAAACAGTAATATTTGAGTCTTATCAAGGCAGCCTTTTTAGAGTTTGCAAGATTGAAGTGTTCTGTTCTGGTGCAAGCAAACCAATGGCTGATTGTGTGAGTGTAGCGGCCATAAAGTTCCGAGTCCCATGGTCCTTCTCATCTGAGGTTGGATGCTAAGACAACATGAGATTATTTTGCTCAAATTTAATGTGAGCTTATTCTGGCCAGTGTTGGGTGCCAATGCATGGCCCAAAAAGTTCTGAGCTCCATAGGTGAGATTCGAACCACAGACCTTCTGATCTGAAGTCAGACATCATGTCCACATGAACATGGAGGTTAACCCCAGTCAGCAAGCTGACATGGTAAGGATGCCATCTGTGGGATGACTTCACACCCTGCTACACTGACAAGGTAAGGATGTCATCTGTGTGATGACTCCACACCCTGCTACACTGACAAGGTAAGGATGTCATCTGTGGGATGACTCCACACCCTGCTACACTGACAAGGTAAGGATGTCATCTGTGGGATGACTCCACACCCTGCTACACTGACAAGGTAAGGATGTCATCTGTGTGATGACTCCACACGCTGCTACACTGACAAGGTAAGGATGTCATCTGTTGATAACTTCACACCCTGCTACACTGACAAGGTAAGGATGTCATCTGTGTGATGACTCCACACCCTGCTACACTGACAAGGTAAGGATGTCATCTGTTGATAACTTCACACCCTGCTAAACTGACAAGGTAAGGATGTCATCTGTGGGATGACTCCACACCCTGCTACACTGACAAGGTAAGGATGTCATCTGTGGGATGACTCCACACCCTGCTACACTGACAAGGTAAGGATGTCATCTGTGGGATGACTCCACACCCTGCTACACTGACAAGGTAAGGATGTCATCTGTGTGATGACTCCACACGCTGCTACACTGACAAGGTAAGGATGTCATCTGTTGATAACTTCACACCCTGCTAAACTGACAAGATAAGGATGTCATCTGTGGGATGACTCCACACCCTGTTACACTGACAAGGTAAGGATGTCATCTGTGGATCATTCCACACTGTGATACAGAAGCATGCGGACACACGAAGGGAGCACAGATCTCATCAATAACTCACCATGCAATGCCAGAATCGTTGGTTCTCCCCACAAGAGTTTTCCATTGTTCATTAGCTCCTGTTACAATCTTCAGAGCATATTCCTGCAAAGATTGAATTTTGTTTAAGACATTATTTATTTCAGATAGTATGAGAGAAGCGTCAAGGGTTCCTTGACAAAACACAGATGCTATAACATAAATAAACCCAGATGTATCAGCTCGAAGAAAACCACAAATTAGTTCCCGGTATCTAAAACTGTCAGTGAATCGGGTTTAACGCCTTTCAGCAACAATTCAGCTTTATTCCTGGGGTGAGCTTCATGCAGGAAGAAAGCCCATAGAGACACAGATGGTGCTAACAAACCATGGCAGGGGCTTGAAAAATACCAATGCCCGACACCCGAGTCAAGTAGAATTCTCCACATTAAATGTTACCGTGGTACAGTAGTACCAAACTACTGAAATGTTTTGATATGTATTTTGATGATGAAATAAAAATGCAATTACAACCAAATGAATGTTTTTGTGAAGTGAAATTAATATTTGATCAAGTGGATTTTGAAAGTTTCAAAAAAATTTCAACCCCTGCATAGAAACAGGATTTGGGAAACCTGGGCTTCACGACCATAAGTCTCAATCATAGCCAATTGTGGCGCCTTGGATGGCTGCACGTCTTGTTACATTTGAAGCCCAGTACGAACTATCATTTTTGTTCTTGTGACATGTTGTGAAAACTCATATGCTACTTGAAACTCAGTTAAACTTATACATTTATTGTTTTTGCAAGAAAAGAGTGAGTGAGTATGGTTTTACACCGCTTTTAGCAATGTCTGGGGACACCAGAAATGGGCTTCACATTGTGAGAAAAGCAACTTCATACAAAAAGTATATTGTAAAAGTTGAGATTATTGTCTGTATCAATATAAGAAGCATAAATTTCACATATTAAGAATAATAATTGCACTTGGCCAGCCTTGCATGCTTTTTTTGTTCATATACTGGGGCTTGATAGGGTAACCTAGTGGTTGAAGCATCCACTTGTTTCACTAAAGGCCTGTGTTTGATTCCCCAAATATACAAAATGTGTGAAACCCATTCTTGTGTCCTCCACGAGTCCACAGTGACATTGCTGGGATATTGCTAAATGCAATGTTGCAACTTTATGACTGCACTCTGTAAATAATCGAGTCTGGACCAAACTATACAGTGGCGGTGGTGGAATTGGGTTGAGCGTCGTAGCGAGAATATTTCACTCATATGATGGCGTGCATGCGTGTGTATGTGTATGTCGCGGGCTGCTTGTACTAGCCCAGACTGAAGCTCATTTTATAGTGCTAGCCGACTCGCGATGCCATGCCACAGTGAAGCATGAATACCCCACTCAGACACATTATACTGACTCGAGCCGACCAGTCCTTGTTTGTGCCCATTAATACCCGGCCAGGCAGGACCACCAACAAGTACCATATTTTAATGTCTTTTGGTATGGCCGTCGGGATCAGAACTTCGCGACCTTTCGCACGCCGGGCAACAGAACTCTAATCACTACACCACGGAGGCGGTCAAAACTATACAGTGACTGACAATATGGCATCAGTCTACACAATGCCATGCATCAAGCAGATCAGCAAGTCTGACCACTTGATTAGATTGCCTTTACGAAGCGCGGGTTACTGAAGACTCATTCTAACCCATATCTTCAAGGGTTAGTGCAGAAAGAATGAGAATTTCATCAACGAGTTGCTGATACTGAATTTACAAGCACTTACTTTATTTTTGATGGACTCCGTCCCAGGCAAAGTTGTTGACTGGCTTGGTCAGTCAGGAACCTTATAAAACTTAAACCATTCGGTATGTTGCCTGAAAACAGTAAGCATTGAATAAAGAAGTTAAAATATCACTAAAATGCTTATCAACATCTCAATATTCCACACTTTAAGAGAGAAGGCTCACGAGTGGTACCATGGGGACAGCTCAAAGCATCCTTGTTTTTAAGTAACAGCCAAGTATACTGAACCACAAAAGCGTCGCGGCTTTCAAAACCAAATGCAAAATTTTGTTATTGTAAGGTCTTTTTATTATTGTACGTTTTTCTTAACATGTTTTCAATCCAAATTGACAGTTGTTACCAACATCAGGTGTTTTCAATGAAAAGCATATCGACCAAGCGTACATAAAAAAGGCTGACATGGTAAAAGGTTCGTGCTGACATTAGAGTGAAAATGCGGCATGTGGTGACAACCCTACCAATGAAAGCGGAAGGTCTCAAATCATTTTGTTTTGGACACAGCCATCGTACCCGTCTTATGAGAGATCAGAGGAACCAATTAGGTAAGTGGAAGCAAGTTTAACAGGAGAGCAGACAGGATGGTATCAGGTCCCTAACAGCATTCAAGACCGTCATTGAAGCTATCTTCGAAATAACATCAAAACTGCAGGATAAACTTCTCAAAGCGGCGGAAGCACGGAATGACCAGCTTTGATGTCGGGCTGATCTCACAGATTCATGGCTTTTGTCATGGAATAGCAGTTTCTGCTGTTTGGCTGTGAACTCTGACCTGATGGTCATCACGGACATTGGTGGTAACATTGGTGTTGACAGTACATTTCCTGGTGTTGACAGTAATACTGGTGCTTGTGGTAACATTGGTGTTGATGGTAATACTGGTGCTTGTGGTAACATTGGTGTTGATGGTAATACTGGTGCTTGTGGTAACATTGGTGTTGATGGTAATACTGGTGCTTGTGGTAACATTGGTGTTGATGGTAATACTGGTGCTTGTGGTAACATTGGTGTTGATGGTAATACTGGTGCTTGTGGTAACATTGGTGTTGATGGTAATACTGGTGCTTGTGGTAACATTGGTGTTGACGGTAATACTGGTGCTTGTGGTAACATTGGTGTTGACGGTAATACTGGTGCTTGTGGTAACATTGGTGTTGACTGGAATACTGGTGCTTGTGGTAACATTGGTGTTGACGGTAATACTGGTGCTTGTGGTAACATTGGTGTTGATGGTAATACTGGTGCTTGTGGTAACATTGGTGTTGATGGTAATACTGGTGCTTGTGGTAACATTGGTGTTGATGGTAATACTGGTGCTTGTGGTAACATTGGTGTTGATGGTAATACTGGTGCTTGTGGTAACATTGGTGTTGATGGTAATACTGGTGCTTGTGGTAACATTGGTGTTGATGGTGGTGCTACTGGTGCTTGTGGTAACATTGGTGTTGACTGGTGTTGAAATACTGGTGCTTGTGGTAACATTGGTGTTGATGGTAATACTGGTGCTTGTGGGTGCTAACATTGGTGTTGATGGTAATACTGGTGCTTGTGGTAACATTGGTGTTGATGGTAATACTGGTGCTTGTGGTAACATTGGTGTTGATGGTAATACTGGTGCTTGTGGTAACATTGGTGTTGATGGTAATACTGGTGCTTGTGGTAACATTGGTGTTGATGGTAATACTGGTGCTTGTGGTAACATTGGTGTTGATGGTAATACTGGTGCTTGTGGTAACATTGGTGTTGATGGTAATACTGGTGCTTGTGGTAACATTGGTGTTGATGGTAATACTGGTGCTTGTGGTAACATTGGTGTTGATGGTAATACTGGTGCTTGTGGTAACATTGGTGTTGATGGTAATACTGGTGCTTGTGGTAACATTGGTGTTGATGGTAATACTGGTGCTTGTGGTAACATTGGTGTTGATGGTAATACTGGTGCTTGTGGTAACATTGGTGTTGATGGTAATACTGGTGCTTGTGGTAACATTGGTGTTGATGGTAATACTGGTGCTTGTGGTAACATTGGTGTTGATGGTAATACTGGTGCTTGTGGTAACATTGGTGTTGATGGTAATACTGGTGCTTGTGGTAACATTGGTGTTGATGGTAATTACTGATGGTAATATTGATGTTCTTAAAAAGGTGGTGATATTGGTGTTGATTGTGATACTGTTTGTGGTAACATTGGTATTGATGGTAATTATTGATGGTAATATTGGTGTTGATTGTGATACTTGTGTTGGTAGCAATGTTGGCATCGTAATTAACATAGACGACATTTGATCATCGAAGTTGATGTGACAACACTCACCTTCAAAAAGCCAGGCATTTTCTTTTCTACATCTTCAATATCTACAGGAAAAGACAATGAATGCATTACAAAAGTGTCTGAAATGTCAGAGTAACATTAATTTGATAAACACAAACGTCCCACATTTTAAATAAATATGAACCAAACAAGTTGCATCTCAGTCTGTCAGCTTGATGAGGGAGTAAAACATGGACTGATGCAGGGCTTAGATATTCACAACTTCTGTCAGCCTGATGACTTAGTTGACTACAGGTATGGGGCGGGCAGAGAATGACACATTCAGGATGAATCTGGCATTTAATCAGTTTCTAGCACTCCTGAGCAATGTAACTGTGCAAAGTGAATTCACTGAATTCAGATAATCAGGCCTATGGGGCCTAGATACCTCTTGGTATCAAGTCACAGTCAACTGGATCCAATTTCTCGAAAGAAACTTAAGTTTTTACTAAAATTTCAAACTGAGTTTGACAATTTGAAACATCTGAGTTTCTAATTCAGTTGCATTTCTAAGACCATAAATCCAGGCAAACTCACGTAGCCTATCTACCAAACACAAACTCAGATTGTCTACTAAGTTTAAGTTCAATATTAATTTCAGTTTATTCTGCGAAATGCATTTTCTTGTGTTTTCTCAAACTTGATTCAAAACTCAGACTTAGGTTTGTTTCGAGAAATCGGGGCCAGTACAGTTACCAACTCCGATCTGGGCGGGGTCATTTCTACGCTGTGCAGACCTCTGAACACTTTATATCTATGTTTCATTACGATGACCAGTTATGGCATGAGTGAGGTTGAACATGACAGAGTAGTCAGTTTATAACGGTTTATTCCAAGAGAGACAGGAATGTGTTTCCATGTACTTACCATTGAGTTCAGCTGCTAATGGATCTGTGACATCAATAGCAATCACCTTCCAATCGGTCTCACCTGGGAATGAGTAGTATGCAGGTGTTATTCTGCTGGTGGGTAACATGGGCTTATCATCTGTGTGATTCAGGTTACAGGTATACCAATATGTGACCTGTCCTAGACAATACTGGGTCACCATGACCTGGGCATCATCAATATACAATACGGTGTTATTCGGCATTAGACAATATTGGGTCACCATGACCTGGGGATCATCAATATACAATACTGTGTTATTCGGCATTAGACAATACTGGGTCACCATGACCTGGGGATCATCAATATACAATACTGTGTTATCCGGCATTAGACAATACTGGGTCACCATGACATGGGGATCATCAATATACAATACTGTGTTATTCGGTATTAGACAATATTGGGTCACCATGACCTGGGGATCATCAATATACACTTCGGTGGTAAGACTTGCTGACTTGGTTGATGCCATAGTATCCCAACTGCATAGATTGATGCTCATGAGGTTGATCATTGGGTTATCCAGTACAGACTATTATTTACAGACAGACACCTTATACTATACAAAGTTATAGTTAAACAACGAACAAAACAATATATAATTCAGTGTGATTCGGCATAAGACAATATTGGGTCACCATGACCTAGTAATCAGTACACACTTCAGTGTAATTCAGCATTAGACATTATTGGGTCATTATGACCTAGGAATCAATATACACTTCAGCATTAGAAGAGATTCTTTACGTCAATAATAAATTAACTGGTATTGAGATCAAAGAGAGCACTTTAATTTTCACCTCCTAACATAAGGTCACGATGACCCAGGAATTCATGAAAGTATGCTTTAGCTGTTCAAAGGTGTCCTGGAGTTGTTTTTATGGTCGTGTTTGGATCCCCTAAAATATTTAAATTTTAACATAAATCTTATGTTATAATAAGATTGGTTGGTTATTGTTTAACTCCGCACTCAGACAATCCAGTGATCAACAGCATGAGTATCAATCTACGCAAATGGGACATGATGACATGTGGCAACCAATTCAGCGAGTCTGACCACCCAATCCTGTTTGTCGCCTCTTACGACAAGCATGGGTTGCTGAAGACCAATTCTAACCAGATCTTCATGGGTGCATTGTTATAATAAAGATCACTTGAATTATATGCCTACTTTTGAACACTGCCTTAGTGTTATTATGATCATGGAGAAAAAATAAAGTAACAATATAAGATGACATAAGAGGGTGGATACTTCCATATCAGAAACGACTCCAGTCTACATTATCTAAATATGGGGAATTCTTCAAACATGGGAACTTGTTACTAAATTGTTTGTGTCAATTTTGGAAGATTCGCCATTAAGTCCTTCAGAAAAATCAATGGGGAAACTGCTGCTAAACACCTACCTTCATCAATGAGCAACATCGTGCCTAAGACCTTTACCCTTATCACAGCACCACGCTTCTGGACCTGTTAAAGAGATAATGTGTAAAAACATGAGCATGAGATGATGGATGAACAAACTGGTTATACAGGTTACTTGGGGACAACTTCTACCCCTGGGATCACGAATGTTGAGACTTGAGACGATCTGGATCCTGTCGTCACACAAGTTACTCGGGACAACTGCTACCCTGGGATCACGCAGGTTACTCGCTACAACTGCTACCCTGGGATCACGCAGATTACTCGCTACAACTGCTACCCTGGGATCACGCAGGTTACTCGGGACAACTGCTACCTTGGGATCACGCAGGTTACTCGGGATAACTGCTACCCTGGGATCCGCGCAGGTTACTTGGGATCATACAGGGGACAACTGCTACCCTGGGATCACGCGGGGTTACTTGGGACAACTGCCACCCTGGGATCATGCAGGTTACTTGGGACAACTGCTACCCTGGGATCACGCAGGTTACTCGCTACAACTGCTACCCTGGGATCACGCAGGTTACTCGCTACAACTGCTACCTTGGGATCACGCAGGTTACTAGTGAGTCGTGACCAACTGCTACCTTGGGATCACGCAGGTTACTAGTGAGTCGTGACCAACTGCTACCTTGGGATCACGCAGGTTACTAGTGAGTCGTGACCAACTGCTACCTTGGGATCACGCAGGTTACTAGTGAGTCGTGACCAACTGCTACCTTGGGATCACGCAGGTTACTAGTGAGTCGTGACCAACTGCTACCCGGGAATCACGCAGGTTACTAGTGAGTCGTGACCAACTGCTACCTTGGGATCACGCGCAGGTTACTAGGAGCCCAGACCAACTGAGTCAGTCGACCAACTGCTACCTTGGGATCACGCGCTGGTTATTAGTGAGTCGTGACCAACTGCTACCCTGGGATCACGCGGGCTTACTAGTGAGTCGTGACCAACTGCTACCTTGGGATCACGCGGGTTACTAGTGAGTCGCGGACCAACTGCTACCTTGGGATCACGCGGGTTACTAGTGAGTCGTGACCAACTGCTACCTTGGGATCACGCGGGTTACTGGTGAGTTACGTGACCAACTGCTACCTTGGGATCACGGTTACTAGGGTTACTGGTGAGTCGTGACCAACTGCTACCCCAGGAATCACGCAGGTTACTAGTGAGTGAGTCAACTGACCAACTGCTACCTTGGGATCACGCAGGTTACTAGTGAGTCGTGACCAACTGCTACCTTGGGATCAACAGGTTACTAGTGAGTCGTGACCAACTGCTACCTTGGGATCACGCAGGTTACTAGTGAGTCGTGACCAACTGCTACCTTGGGATCAACAGGTTACTAGTGAGTCGTGACCAACTGCTACCTTGGGATCAACGCGCAGTCGTGACCGTGACCAACTGCTACCAACTGCTCACGCAGGTTACTAGTGAGTCGTGACCAACTGCTACCTTGGGATCACGCAGGTTACTAGTGAGTCGTGACCAACTGCTACCTTGGGATCACGCAGGTTACTAGTGAGTCGTGACCAACTGCTACCTTGGGATCACGCAGGTTACTAGTGAGTCGTGACCAACTGCTACCTTGGGATCAACAGGTTACTAGATCACCAACTGCAGGTTACTAGTGTGAGTCGTGACCAACTGCTACCTTGGGATCAACAGGTTACTAGTGAGTCGTGACCAACTGCTACCTTGGGATCAACAGGTTACTAGTGAGTCGTGACCAACTGCTACCTTGGGATCAACCAGGTTACTAGTGAGTCGTGACCAACTGCTACCTTGGGATCAACAGGTTACTAGTGAGTCGTGACCAACTGCTACCTTGGGATCAACAGGTTACTAGTGAGTCGTGACCAACTGTGACCAACTGCTACCCTGCTACCTTGGGATCAACAGGTTACTAGTGTGAGTCGCATCAGCTACCTTGGGATCAACTGGACTAGGCTCATCACAGGTGGACTAAACGCCCTGGACTACCTGGACTAAACGCTACCCTGGACAATTGACAATGGTCAATATAACAAAATGAAGTGAGGTGGCAGGTTTGGAAGACAGATGGGCACGGATGAAATGTTATGATTATTCTTCTACGGTACGTAGACTGCTCACCTTGTAACCTATTTCACAGACATCTAGTGGATCTTTGTCTCCTTTTGTGTCGGTCTCCGGGAACACCTCTTCTGGGTCCTCCCACGTCTGAAACAATAAATACAAACTGAAACTATCCACACAACACTCAACACAATACCACACAACACAATACCACACTGACAACACAATACCACACAACACAATACCACACTGACAACACAATACCACACTGACAACACAATAACCGCAGACAACACAATACCACACAACACAATACCACACTGACAACACAATACCACACTGACAACACAATACCACACAACACAATACCACACAATACCAAACTGACAACACAATAACACACTGACAACACAATACCACACAACACAATAACACACTGACAACACAATACCACACAACACAATAACACACTGACAACACAATAACACACTGACAACACAACACAATAACACACTGACAACACAATAACACACTGACAACACAATAACACACTGACAACACAATAACACACTGACAACACAATACCACACAACACAATACCACACTGACAACACAATAACACACTGACAACACAATAACACACTGACAACACAATATCACACTGACAACACAATACCACACTGACAACACAATAACACACTGACAACACAATAACACACTGACAACACAATACCACACACTGACAACACAATACCACACTGACAACACAATAACACACTGACAACACACTGACAACACAATAACACACTGACAACACAATAACACACTGACAACAACACACTGACAACACAATAACACACTGACAACACAATAACACACTGACAACACAATACCACACAACACAATACCACACTGACAACACAATACCACACAACACAATACCACACTGACAACACAATACCACACAACACAATAACACACTGAGGTGTGTAGAAGACATTATGAGAAAAGGCATAAATTGTGCATGTTTACCCGATGGAAGGTGTGAATCATTTATAATTGACATTAAAGTTCCATTATAACCAAGGATACAAATGTGATGTTAATGTTACCTGTGGAAGGGATTCATCGAAGACAGATGTTGTACATATATGTTTACCTGAGGGAAGGCGCCATAGTTCCAGATGTAGCCATGGTGAGGGAAGATGTTTTTTACATAACGCAGTTTTCCTTTCTTTACATCCTGTTTTATTGGGTTCATCTTTTCATCTTTACAGATCTGCAACAAAGCATCAGCAAGGATTAGACCAAGTTAACCCACACTAAGCATCACTTGCTGCTGACATGTCAGGAAAACAAACAGTGTTTCCGTTCTCCGGTATATACCTGAAAATCGCCGGTAAAATTTGTTGGGGACTGGTAGATTGAAAGCCAACCGGACACTGTGTCCGGTAAATAATCATGTATTAAAATAAAAAAATCATGGGTAAGTGAAATCACAGTCTTGGCTGTGCTTTCATGGTCGCAAAAGTTGTTATGTTTGGGAAATATCCAGGCTAAAAATAAGTTTAACATGAGTACTTACAGTATGGTAATAGGATATGACCGGCAATATAATTCATGACCGGTAAAATTTTAGGTCGCCAGACACAGTGTCCGATAAATAATTTAGTCAGCGGAAACACTGACAAACTTATAATATTTATTATTACCATATCTTTTCTCCCCTAAAAATATCTCTGTAGAGGGATGTGAAGTAAACATGCAATAATTTATTTTGATATTCTTCCCCCATGCACTCTCATTACTGTGTGCACGAAACCCCGGAATTACCATGCCAACGAATCTGAAATTAAAAATGCTGATTAATCATTCAATTCTGCCGTCTGGTTATAAAATGGACTGGACAGGAATATATCTGGAATTAATTCATCTTTAATATTCATCTTATTCAAAATAAATTCACCAGTGCTTGCATCAAATTTGTACCCACAATGCCTTTCTGATAGGTCAAATGCAACATGGTATATTTGGGATTAAACTTTCTCTGTAAAGTACAGAAGTTTATACTTTTGGAAGGGTTTTGAGTCTCATCCGGGATTCAAACCCACACTCTGATCTTCATTGCCAGCCCACCAAGTCAGCGATCTAACCCAATCAATCACAGCGGCTCACAAATATAAAAGTCTGACAACAGGGAGTCTAGTTCACATATTTTGTGTACCCCTCTGACAAGTGGAAATTGACACAGTTCCATGGTCAACGCTATGAATACACAGTGCTATTTAGAAAGTATTGAAATTCAACATCTAAGTGATGTACAAATTCTAGTACTAGTTTTAGTCGAGTCTCATCCAGAATGAGTGAGTAAGTTTAGTTTTACGCCGCACTCAGCAATATTCCAGCCATATGGTGGCGGTCTGTAAATAATCGAGTCTGGAACCGACAATCCAGTGATTAACAGCATGAGCATCGATCTGCGCAATTGGGAATCGATGACATGACATTGTCATCCTTGACTTGGTTGACACATGTCATCGTATCCTAATTGTGTAGATCGATGCTCATGCTGTTGATCAGTGGATTGTCTGGTCCAGACTCGATAATTTACAGACCGCTGCCATATAGTTGGAATATTGCTGAGTGCGCCGTTAAACAACAACCAGGTTTTTACAGAAGGAATATAAATGTATGACTGTAGATATGCGTGAAAGAAGTTAACATATCTATGCTATGCCAATAAACATGATAAAATCATTCTAAGCATAGATTTGAAAATGCGTGGTGACCTTCACCACAACTGGTGAAACATTGTTTTGAACAAAATACAGATTATTTTCAGTTATCATTTTAAAACTTTAGAAGAATTTTAAAAGAGGTATTTTACTGCTGCAATCAATGCAATAATCTAAAATTTTGCTTTAACAATGTCACACCCTTCCTTTTCTTGTTTCGTTTATCAGTAAAATACAATATAACCTTTAAAAAGCTGTAACTTTAGGTTACTATACAAACATGAACTGGGAATTCCAATTTGTAATGTTTTTAGACATCTGTTGCAGACACAAGACCAAACATTGGCCTTTGAGCAAGCCGAGATAAAACTCGTCATTTCGTCTATTCTCAAGGAATGGTGTGATGATCATGATAATGGGATGGGTCAAGAAGTTATGGTTAGCTAAACAAGGCTGTTACAACTAACTTGCACATTCGGTAAACCAAACCATATCCCTTCAGGAATTCAATCGGTTTTTCACTATCAGTAGAATTGGTTATTCATGATTTAAAGTTAAATGGAGTATTTTTACTTGAATTTGGGTGTTATTTATCAAACTAAAATATGCAAAAAATATGTTTAAAAATTGGAATATATCCAAGACAGGCATTATAATGGTCAACACTTGTATATAATTTGAAAGTAATGTTACTGGTCACTGTGATAAATTATCATTGTCAACATGGTCAAAACAGATCAAAGAATATACTTTGTTATTGTTACACTGAATAACATTTCCACAGTTGACTTGTTTGTGTATTGGTTACTCATTACCAAATATTCATGATAAGTATCATAGTCAACTCATAGTGTATTTGTAGCCGCTCTAATAAACAAACAAAACACTGATTACAGCAACTGGTCTACTGCTGTGACAGGGCTCCAGATAACTTTTGGGGGTGCGAGTGTACTTACACATCATATTGCAAGTGGAGGTGTACTGAGAATTTTGAAGGAGTACTGACATGTTTTTGTGTGAGCGAGTTGGTGATGTGGTTCATCTAGACGATTCATCGATCACTATTTCCAACCATGTATTTGTATTTGAAGACGCGTGAGAAATAACTGAGCGACCGTGTGATGCGCGAAATGTCAGGTCTGACTGGATATAAATAGGAACAGTGTAGTTTTTAGCCAATCGAAAAATAGTGACGCATATCGCTGCATGGCAACGCAAGTGATTCCTACTGTCGGGGTTTCCTCATGTGTCAAATCGTGTTTCGCAAAAGAAACTTGACAAGTATTTATCCGAAAAAGATTTCCATTTGCACGATACGCACGAAAATTAAATGTTAGACGTACAAAGGTATTTATGTGCGTACATGATACTCTTGAAATCTTATATTATGTCGTACTCAATTGATTTTGAGGCGTACATTACGCCTGTACGCCCCTTCTCTGTAGCCCTGGCTGTGAGATGAAAAACATACATGTACATGCCATTTTCTATAAAATTCCAACTAGCATAAATATGAATAGATTTTGCGCTATTCGCATAAATGGGTATATATGTAAATGAGTCAACAACGTATTCAGAATATGAGGGTATACAATCCAACAGCTGCACAGTAGTTTCATGAATACCCTGTCAAACTGTGCTCAACCCAGTAAATAGTTCTACTGTACAAACTAGACAAATAGCATACACATTTCTATGTTTTAGAATCCAATTTGTTATTTTGTTGGTCTGAGAAATGAACAACTTAAAGTCTTTATTATTTTTCTCAAGTCCAGTTTTGCTGTTTATACACTGTGGGATCAAGGAAGAAGGCAAATCAATAAATGGCTGGATGGAAAATGCCAGAACAACTGTCGGGTCAAAGCACAGATACTGATCAGGAATCTGCATTTTTTCACTGTAGGATTTTCCTGGGAATTGCTACATACATCACTGACAGTTGAAGCAAAGCCTACAAACAGTTGTGTCTTTCACAAGGATTGGAGGGACTCTCCTACTTTCTCTTTGGTGTCATTCCTGAGGAACTGCACTTACTTAAGTGCATACACACACCCTCACATAACAGGAACAATCCCCAGATATCATAGGGTATGTGAAGTCATGTTGACACTGTTCACAGACAGTGTGGGCTTTCGACATGTAGCACTTATTTATGAATGAGAGAGAGAGACAGACAGAGAGAGAGAGAGAGAGAGAGAGAGAGAGAGAGAGACAGACAGAGAGAATATGAAAGAGAGAGAATGAGAGGTGAGGTGAGGTGAAATTGGGTTTTACGTCGTTCTTGAGAATATTTCGCTCATATGACGACGTGCATGCGTGTGTATGTGTATGTGCGGCTGCTTGTACTAGCCCAGACTGAAGCTGGTTTTATAGTGCTAGCCCACTGAGATACCATGCCGCAGTGAAGCATGAATATCCCACTCAGACACATTATACTGACTCCGAGCCGACCAGTCCTTGTTGTACCCATTAATGCCGAACGCCAGGCAGGGACCAACAAGTCCATATTTTAACGTCTTTTGGTTTGACGCGATCGGGGATCGAACCCCCGACCTTCCGCTCTCCGGGCGGACGCTCTAACCACTACACCACAGAGGCGGTAGAGAATGAGAGAGAGAGAGAAAGAGAGAGAGAGAAAGAGAGAGAAAGAGAGGAGAAGGAGTTAATTTCAATGCTCTTTCGAACAATATTTCAGTTCTGTCACTGCATTTCTTTCGTTATTTTTATTGCATCATAAATACAAAAATGACAGATCATTTAAATCTGAAGTCAACAAACCAATGAAAATAGGACAAAAATCAGTGACTCAAAATAAGCTACAATCAGCTATACTTTGCACCTTGGTCGCGATCAGCCGGTCACAATATCTAACAATATTCTTCTCACAAACATACCTCCATTTTGGCGTTGGACCATCGTGGTATCTCAACCACCATGTTAAACTCTGTCTTTTCTGCATTGGAGTACAGGGGGATGTCATGGAAGGGGGAGACAACTTTTCCTGCCGAGTTGGCTGTAATATGAAAATGTAACAGTTAGCGATGGCACCTGATTACAATGTTACAGACACTAACAAAGCTTCAAAGCCTTGTAAAGAACCAAACCTTACCAAAATGTTATCTGGAAGTAAGATTCTGTACAAATTAATCTCATTAAAGAATAGAGTAAACCTTGTTTCACTAGTCTTCAGAGTTTACAGATGAGTGAGTGAGTGAGTTTAGTTTTACGCTGCACCCAGCAATATTCCACCTATATGGCTGCGGGCTGTAAATAATCGGTTCTGGACCAGACAATCCAGTGATCAACAGCATGAGCATCAATCTGCGCAATTAGGAACCGATGATATGTGTCAACCAAGCCAGGAGTCTGACCACCCGATCCCGTTAGTCACCTCTTACGACAAGCAGGGGTTACTGAAGATCAATTCTAACCCGGACCTTCACGGGTTGAGGTTACAGATAGTCCTCCCAGAATAAAAGACAAAATATTTACTACCAGTATTTTTATGAGCTAATTCAGAATCAATGGGTTGGTTGGTTTGTTCTTTAATGCCACACTCAGCAATATTCCAGGTATATGGTGTCGGTCTGTAAACATCATAAACATCGATCTACACACCTGGGATACAATGGCACATGTCAACCAAGTCAGCGAGCCTGACCACCCAATCCCTTTAGTTGTCTCTTACACTGACTGACTCAGTTTGGTTTTACGCCGCTTTTAGCAATATTCCAGCAACATCACGGCGGGGGACACCAGAAATGGGCTTCACACATTGTACCCATGTGGGGATTTGAACCCGGGTCTTCAGGGTGACGAGCCAACGCTTTAACCATTACGCTACCCCACCGCCCAGTTGTCTCTTACAACAAGCATGGGTTGCTGTCGACCAATCGTAACCCTCATCTTCATGGGTAAGGAAAGTGAATATGTGAGTCGGTGTTAATGCTCTTTTGTGTGAGTGAGAGGATAGTTTACTCCGCTTTTAACAATATTCCAGCAATATCACAGCGGATGGACACCAGAAATGGCCTCCACACACTGTACCCATGTGGGGAATCGAACCCGGGTCTTTTGCATGACGAGCAAACGCTTTAACCACTAGGCTACCCCACCGCCCAATGCTCTTTTGAACAGAACTTTAGTTCTGCCTCTGCATTTCTTTCTTTTTATTTTACTGGTACAAAATTACCAAAATGACAGACCATTCCTTTTGGTGCAGACAAACCAATGAACACCGACTCAAAATCAGCTCCAATCAGCCACACTTGCATTGCCAAGGGAGGCAACTTTACACCATGAACTTTACACCGTGATTCACAAACACTGAAGAGGCTCTCCTATCTCTTTGGTGTCATTCCTGAGGAACTGCATTTACCTAAAGTGCATCCACGCCCTCACAGCCATATCAGGACCAATCAGCAGATATCATTTGGTATGTGAGGTCATGTCGACATTGTCCACAGACACTGTGGGCTTCTGACATGTAGCATTTAGTTTTGATTGCCTCTTGCAGTGAAAATTGAAATGCTACAACAGGCTGAGACCCTTGGGATATGTGATGTTGTGTCTCTGTGTCCTAATCTCCTACCTGGACGGTATGCATGCAAGTTGGTGGGTGGGTTGGTTTGCTGTTTAACACCACACTCAGCAATATTCCATCCATATGGCGGCAGCCTGAAAATAATCGGGTCTGGACCAGACAATCCAGTGATCAACATCAAAAGCATTGATCTTCGCAATTGGGATGCTATGACATGTGTCAACCAAGTCAGTGAGCCTGGCCACCCGATCCTATTAGTCGCCTCTTACGACAAGGATAGTCGCCTTTTGTGGCAAGCATGGGTTGCTGAAGACCTATTCTACCCCAGATCTTCACGGGTCGAGTGAGTGAGTGAGTGAGTGAGTGAGTGAGTGAGTGAGTGAGTGAGTGAGTGAGTGAGTGAGTGAGTGAGTGAGTGAGTGAGTGAGTGAGTGAGTGAGTGAGTGAGTGAGTGAGGTTTTATGCTGCTTTTATCAAAATACCAGCAAAACATGGCAGGGGACACCAGATATAGGCTGCATACATTATACCAATGTGCAGTATCGACCCCGGGTCTTAGGCGTTACGAGCAAACACTACCCCACCACCCTGTCTTCAATAAAGGGCTCCACTTCACAAGGCTTTCTAAGCACTAACAACAGATTGGAGCCTTTGTCACAAACTGGTTTGTAAAACTACAATAGAAGTAGTATGTATAATGACACAGAATTATTTCTCGTACATCAAACACACTACAGTTTTATGATAATTAAACGTCACGAGACTAATTATGTTAATGGTCGGCAGATTGGTCTCCTGTTGAATGCAACTAATAACACCTGATATTTACTGCCAGTCCAGGCAACACCTCATACACTATATAGATCCTCATTATAACACAGTATCCTCATTATACAGTGAAGTCAGTATATTTCAATAAGCTGCAGTAAACGTGGCATACAGTTTATATTTGTATGATTGATATCTTAATGTACTCCAGGCGCTATATATATGCCTCGTAAAATACTTAACAACTATTGTGTTTGAAATTAACGGAGGTTCTGACATCCTTGAGATCTGCTTTTATGGTATTTGAACATGATAACCCCTCAAATCTTTAGATTTTAACATTCTGTTTATGACAATGACACTTCAAAGCTCATGGACAATTTTGAACAACGACCACATAATTTTTTTTTTATGATCATTATAATTTGGATGTTTAATGCCGTGTCAGCAGTATTCTAGCTGTAGGAAGACAGTCTATAAATAACAGTCTTAACAACCCCTTGATCAACATCATGAGCATCAATCTACTCAAATTACGATCTGATAACATGTGTCAACCAAGTCAGAAAGCCCAACCCCTTAGACACCTCTTAGTCTTACGACAAGCATGGGTTGCTGAAGAATTTTTCTAAACTGGATATTCTCAGGTCATAACCATTTGCATTCGTACAGATTCTGTCAATCTGTTTGAATGTCCTGAAATATTCTCCATAACCAAAGCGAGATTTCCTACCATATACAATGATATAGTCAGCTGATGTTGCTACACTGGAGTTACTACCATAATGCTCAAAGCAACTGCTACCCACTGGTAACAATAATACCCTGAACCAGTTTGGTGACATAATCCTGTTACACTCGGGTACAATGACTTAGCAAGGTAGGTCCTCATGTCAACACAAACAAGCCAGTCCATGAACACTTGCTAGTTCGAAACAAGTCCATTCAGCATCGGCTGACTTCTATTGGGATAAGGATGCACTATACCTATTCAAAGGTCCATGTTTGACCCCATGTCAAAGAAACGTCAGTTAAATGTCTAAAATTAAAATGTTAAAATGCTCAATTCATGTCAGAGTTATACTGACTGACTGAGTTTGGTTTTACGCCGCTTTTAGCAATATTCCAGCAACATCACAGCGGGGGACACCAGAAATGGGCTTCACACATTGTACCCATGTGGGGATTCAAACCTGGGTCTTCGGCGTGACGAGCCAATGCTTTAACCATTAGGCCACCCCACCGCCCCTGTCAGAGTTATAACTGATGATAGGAGTTTGTGGAGGTGATATGCATTTCTACACATTTTACCAATGTACACTACACTCACCCACCCGGTGATGGTGTGCCAGAGACAATCTTTCTACAAAATGATGTATTTTTTTTCTCTGGTTTTGCAAACGATATTTCAGAATGGCATTTGTTTTTGTCAAAGTCTATGCATTTAAGACCAATAACTTTTCAATGCTGTTCACCCCTGCAGACAACAGTACTCCACTCTACACACATCACAGTACAGTACAACTCGAATACCACTTTATCATCCAAAACTGTTCCACACTCCCAGGAGATATCGTTTTGACAGTAGATTTTGTACAATGCCCTGAAGTCATCAATCACATGACTCACAATGCTATGACATCAAAAACTGATGACGTCACAATGCTTAGCTATGACACATTTTTCATTGAAAACTAATGAAGAGTGATTTTGATGATATCAAATACATCAACACTTGTTGATAGATAAAAATATCCTTGGCAAATCTAGGATATTTGTAACTTTATCAACTTGTGGTGATATTATTGATATCAAAGACACTCGGGTGAGATTCACAGTACACCACTTCACCATGGTACACCACAATGACTACATAGCCAAACACACACCACCTCCAGGTGAGAGACCAGAGGAAAACACAATAGACAAACACACACAGCAGTTTCCAGGTCACAGAGTGAATCAGCACACTGGGTATAAGGAATCTGCTGCCACCTTCTACAGTTGATGATCGAGACCACCGTGATGCTGTAACACCACAGCCCCACCCAGCACTTAATCGTGAAAATGCATGAGAACACCCAGGTGTTCATAGGCCTGATGTGTTTGCATGGTTCATACAGAACTTGTCAAATGTAAATACTTTTGAACTCCATTTGAAGACAATAATCACACTTTCCAATCCAAAAAGTAAACCCATGTTTTCTCAATTGTTGAATATAACTCAAGAAACAACTTTAAACTAGTGAGTAAAACTTTAAAGTAGATCAATATTGGTGTGATGGAGAATAGAGCTGTGTATCGTGGCCTAAAGTGGCGAGACGATATATCCCGATACCAGTTTAATGAGGCGAGACGATATAATGTTGTAGACGAAGTATTGGCAAGAAACCAATATATAACAGATACAAACAAATTCTTTCCATCATAATGTGCTCAGTCACTTACATTCGAACTGTTAAGCTTTCTAAATTTGTTTATTTTTCTTAGTGAATTACGTACGTAGTATCGGGATATATTCTCTCTTGTGGTGATACATTGATGTATCATAAATAATAAAATGCAGATTTCTTCATGCGCCTTTTCCACGCCAGCATATAAGGCTATATCCTCCCACATTTATACAGCAATATGTACACCTAATAATACATTGAAAACAGGTATGTTTTGAGTCCTGACTTGAATGTGGCAATGAAACTTTC